TTTTTTTAAATTTATTTTAAAAAATTTAAGAAATATAATTGTTTGGCAAAGAATAAACAATCTAGTTAAATGCAGAATTTTTCCTATAATACTTTTGTATGAACATTTTGTGATGTTACGTTTTATTTAGGAGATACATTGAAAAAAAAGCGGAAATCTCTTTATCTTTATAAAAGATAGTTTCTTCAGAATGAGATCTTGTTCTAGTAACTGCTTATTCAACTGTCCATCATCATCTCTTCGTAGATGTTTAATTTTTCTTTAGTCTCGATAAAGGTATTCAATTTTATTTAATTTTTATTTTGTATATACATAAGCTCTCAATAATGTCTTCCTACCTGCAGATAGTCGCTAGAGTTCAACATCCAATACGAAAATTTATTTTATTAATATTTCTTATTGCGTATTGGACTGTAGTGACTATCTTTAAGTATGAAAGCATTATTGACAATGAGCGCCTCTGTACATGCAAACTAAAAATTAAATAACAAAAGAAAAGTTGAATACCTTTATCGAGACCAAAGAAAAATTGAACATCTATGAAGAGATGATGATGGGCAGTTGAATAAGTTACTAGAACAAGATCTTATTCTGGAGAAACTAACTCTCTTGGTAAAAATTTACAAACACGGACCCAGCCCTAATGACCTTGACCCTGACATGTGTTGTCAAGGTCACCCTCCTGAGTGACCCTCAGAAGGTTTTAGCCGTCGCTTGTTGTTTGTTAAAATAACAAGGAACATACTGTCTTCACGCATGTACTTCCACCGTTGTACTGTTCCACATGGGTTTGCGACTTTCCATGCGAAGCGAAATCCACTCTAAAACTCAGACATGGTTTCCAGTGGTTTCTTCTAACGTACATGGTATCGTAAAAAGTTATTAAAAAACAATGTCGGCGAATTATATGTATTCGTATTCATATCTGCCATATATCTATTGACGACGAACAACTCTTCCTTCCCATGGTAGTAATAGGGCCGGTGGAAGTACATGCGTGGAGACAGTATGTTCTGCCCCCCTCCCCGAAGGTTTGCGTTTTCCACGCGAAGCGAAATCCACTCTAAAACTCAGACATGGTTCCAGTGGTTTCTTAAACGTACATGGTATCGTAAACTACATAGCATTTACGAAACTTTTTTTCTTCATAACTTTTTAACAAACAACGAGTGACGGCTAAAACCTTCTGAGGGTCATTCAGGACCTTGACAACATATGTCAGGGTCAAGGTCATTGTGGCTGGGTCCGTGTTTGTAAATTATTACCACTATCTTTTATAAAGACAAAGAGATTTTAGCTTTTTCTCAATGTGTCTCCTAAATAAAACGATATCGAGAAATGTTTATACAAAAGTGTTATAGGAAAAATATCTCCATTTAACTACGTGGTTTATTCTTCGCAGAACATTTCTTAAATTTTTGAAAATTTAAGATAATAAATTTTTAAAAATAATTTTTTTCCAGAAATGAATGACGTAGTTAAATAGAGATATTTTTACTGTAAAACTATCGTATAAAACATTTGTTTATATTTCGTTTAGTTTACAAGATATATCGAAAAAAGAGTGATTTGTCGCTTATTTCGAATTACCGCAAAAAAAGCGACTACCAAACAATATTTTAAAAGAGTAAAAGAGATAAAAATGTTATGTTGTACGTTGACCAAACTGGCAATATATTTATTTATCAACAAATGCAGCCATATCTTACGTGATACGTCATGTTCTCGCTACTAACAATAAGTAACAAGATTCTACCCAAGGTATTCCCCATTATATTGTTCTTTAGTATGCTGGTTTCTCCTTAATTATTATTTTATATTATTATATGTTTTTATCATATGGTTTCAGTATACTTGAGAAAGGCTCGAAACGAAGCCGAAACGTTGTAGATAAATAAATATATTGCCAGTTTGGTCAACTTACAACATAACATTTTTATCTCTTTTTTTTAATATAGCTGGCGACAAGAAAAAAGACTTTTATTAATGATTTTAAAGGAGACTTAATTGAAAAACCCCCAAAAATTGAAATCCGAATTGTCGAATTGATGAGATTCCCTTATGAGTTAATATTTTTCGCAATAAATTTTCTGTATTAAAACACGAACCAGTTAATGTTGACCAAAAGCTTCGTTATTGATAAATAACAAATTAATAATTTGACTGACAAGAGTAATCATCAAAATTGCCAGCAAAAAATTAAAAACTTCAGTGTTTATTTAACTGTATCTGGCATTTATTGTACTAGGCTCCCACGTTTCAACCATGGTTTGTGGTCCTTTTTACGCGAACTAGTAATAAAACTATATAGTAATAAAAAATATATGATATATCTACTCTATATATTTACTCTGTATTTTACTTCGAAAATAAAATATTTTCGGGAAAATGTTCCATACAAAAATTGTTTGGTTTGAAGGATATATATAACGCAATGCCGCTGATCTGACCTTGGATAGTTGTTTGAAGATATATATCATGTGAAAGTTACATTCAGTTTCTTAAATAGAATTTTTTTATTGATTACATAGGAGATATACAGGGTGTACCTAAACTGCCGAAAAATATGTCAATGACAGGTACTTTATAACATTTTAAGAACAAAACAAAAATTCTAATACAAAAATGTCGAGGTTATAATAGTTTTCAAATGGTAAGTGTTAAAAGATTTGGAATAAAACAAGGTTGGAATTTTGCGTGCACAGGGATGGCAAAGTGGCAAATTTCACCACGGAGACTGAACCAACTAAATATGATAATAACAACTGACACATATTAATGTCGATTTAAACATTTAAAGTATTGAATGAAAACATCTTAAACTATTTTTATAATTTATTATATTACATTTTATAAACAGAAATAGTTTTTTAATCAAATTCTTACATAATTTTTGCGATATTATCAGTTATTAATTTTTTATTATTATCAAAGATGTAAAGTTCAAGGAGGCACCTTTGCAATTGGCCACTTTGTCATTCCCGAGCGCGCAAAATTCTATAGCCTCGTTATTAAACTCTTCCCATACGAAAACTATTCTAGTCTCGACATTTTCGTATTACAATTTTTGTCTTAAAATGTTACAAAGTGTACTTGTCAGTAAAATATTTTTCGCCAGTTTAAGTACACCCTGTATATGTATACACTTTTGTGATAATGCCGCTGTTTTTGTATAGCTCGGAGCAAGAAGTGTGAGGAAGAGATACTTTGAAAGGCAAGATCTGGTAAAAGAGAAGTGCAGTCAAGATGTGAGTAAGCGAGTGGGAGATGAAGATGGAGAACGTAGAAAAGTGGAGGCAAAAAGAAATGTAAGATCTAGAAAAGGGTATAGGGTGGATAAAGAGTAGAAGCATAGTATGACTAGTAAGTCCACTCTATCATTTGTTTCATTTTGCGTCAATCCCTTCTGTGCATCCAACATTATTCTGGGCAGACCAATGAGAGAAAAGTTGTATGTGTAGCAGAGTGGCTTTGATGAGTACGTTATACACACACGCATCGCTGGTTCCTGACCAAGTGTATGGCGGAATACCACGTGATCGGAACTGTGAAGGTTAAAAGGGCCGACAGAGAGTGGACCTACTAGTTATACTATGATGAAGGTTATACTATGGCTGAGGTTTAGAGCTAGATTAGGAAAGGAGAATAGTGGTAATAGGAGAAAGTAGCAAACAGAGAATAAGATAGTATACAGAGGTAATGTAGAAAAGATAGAACAATAGCGGCATGTGAAGAGTACTAGAAGAGTGAAGAAAAAAGATTTTTTTAGTATAGAGCATAGAAAAACATATGTGTGAAAGAGAGGATAAAGAGAGGAGCGGCACTTAGAACAGGTATGGGGAATAGGAAAAATGTTTAAGGTCCAGTTTCACAAACGTCGGTTAACTGTTAACCAGAGTTCAGTCGACTTCCTATCTTTCTCTATCTTGTTATCCAAGAAGAGACAGAGGATCAATAACCATGGGTTAGCGGTTAAACGACGTTTGTGAAACTGGCCCTAAGGAAGATTGGGGAAAAAGGATCTGGCTATTGGACAGGTTTGTTTGAGCAGTAGTGAGTTACAAAATGGAGGTATGAGGATGGAAAGAAAGGGAGAGAATAGAAGAGCTACAGGATAGGTACCTAACATGGTTGTTGGAGGTAGAAAAGAACATATCAGGGAACATATTATTGTTAAAATAGAAGATAGGCATGATGACTTGGACATACGAGAAGAAATTAGAGGAAGACAGAAGGGAAGAGTTGGGCAAGGGACTGTTGGCAAGAATGGAGGAAAAGAGCAAAGTTGAGGGAGGCAAGGATAAGGTAGAAGGAGGAGAGAAAGGAGTACTGGGAAAAATAACGTGTACATGTGCACGCACGCGCAGATATCATACGGGCAGATTCTTGAGATCAATTTAAGGTAAAAATTCTAATATCCAAAAACCAAAGCTAGTTTTTAAATGACAAAAACTTAAAGTTGACATAAACGAATTTTGATGAAATACAATTCACAATATTACATTGTATAATTCTAAAAGCTAAATTGAAAGTTGTTTTTACGGTGATGAACAGAATGATTGAAACACGTTTGTAATGAGTTTAGGAACGAGCTTTTAGATTTGAGGTCACGTTCCAAAACACTTCCTCTAAGGAAAATTTTACTCAAGAAACAGATCGGAAATGCTCAAAATAGTTTTGAAATAGTTTCAAGTAAAATATTCCTCGGAGAAGATTTTGGAATATAACCCTGAGGGTCAATTCTGTATCTTACACTACAGTAAAAATGCTAAAAGCAAGTAGCTTTGTCCTTCTGTTCTCTTAGAAAGAGACAAAACCGCTAACTTTTAATATTTTCACTATATTGTAAGATACATAATTAACTCCCCGAATCCAAGTGTACATTCCTAAATTTATTTGTAAAAAATTTAACTATTCTGTCCGTCACTATACCTATCCTGTAGTTAACATTGAACTGAGAAATAATACAATTTGTGTAAAATGTTGAAAGCTGGACTTACGATGCGATATGTGATTCTGAGAATGATGATGATGATGAGATGATGGTGGTTTTCTTTCCGGTCGAATACGTTCCATCAATTTACTGATCCTATCATTGGCTCTTTCTTTTCGCACTAAAGGACCAGGACAGTTTTCCTCTACTACACGAACACATTGTCGATGCACGCTGAGGGAACAATCTGTCAAATAGTAAACAATATAATTTTGTCATTACTGGCCTTTGCTACGTGCCTTTAGCAGAAAGAGTAGCTTGGCAAATAATCATTACTTAATGATTATTTAATATAATTTGTTTATACACTTGGATTTGACACAACAAACTATTATAAAGAACCGATTACATTAAGAATCACTCGATGTTTTCTAATCTACTCTTTCTGCTGAACACAGTTATTATAAGTTTCATCTGTTATAAAATTATGTATATACGTTACAATATTATGTATAAAGCAACAAGTTCAATAAATTTATATGATATAAAAAACAAAAAACTTAAAACAATTCTTAAAATTTAACATTATAAACTTATAACATGTAACAATATAATTAAAAAAATGTTTTAAAGTTATAATTTGTAAAATGTATAGGTTAATATTAATATATTATGATTAATAATCACAATATTACTTTTATCATTAAAAACATCTTTTTATTAACTACAATAAAATAAGTAATATCAACAGGCTCAATCAATAAAACAAAAAGATTAAATTAACAGGCAATAAGAGCCAATACAAGATGTTAGGTGTAGAATATGTACAATTTCAAAACATAATAAAAGAATCTGTATTTAAAAGACGTTTCGATCAACTAATGTGATCCTTGTCAACGACATATAATAAATATTAAAAACGGTGCAAACAGTCAATTTATACTACTATAAGCGGAGATTACATAATACACGTCTTTATTAAACATGTAGATATTAAATAGCCGTATGTTAAAATGAATCATTATAAGAACCAATGACGGATGTTAAGAAATTGTGTTAGCTTTGTTCTTATAATACTTGGGAAAATACTTCTTTAGGTATTGAATGGAACTCGTTGACCGTATACTGTAGAGAAATTACAAAATTGTACGAAAAGAAATTAAGAACAACCGTAAAAGTAAATACATATTGCAAGCAAACAAACTGATGTGGAAAAATATAGCTGAGGTAGTTTTTTATCAACGCCGTATCCATCTGTAAATTGATACCATTTGATTGCATATCAATGTACAGCATTTCAGAGATTAAACTTCTAGTACAAAGACTTTTTATCTAAAAAAAAACTATATTTTTTAAGTAAAATTTGTGGTCATACTGCAAGCAATGTACCTGCATGACAAATTATTCGGATTTGCTTTTTTATGTTCCTTGATACGAGTGGACAAGTCTGCTAGTTTGGCAGATATAAGAATCGTTACAATCGTTACAATTAACTCAATATACCACGTTACTATTGAACGCACAAGCTATCTCATCTTCATGCACCTTAATGATATCATTCAATTTGTTGAAACCATAAAAGCTGACATTTCTCTCAATATGTGTACCAAGTTCTTTGAAACTTTTACATATGTCGGAAATGTAAAAAATCGACAAAAACTCATATCATTAAGTTTATGTGTATTAACATTATGTGATAAAGATTGTGAATAAGATAACTTAATCGAGTGTTTTAAAAATAAGATCGATGGATAGCAATCTTTCAATAGCAGAAAGACGACCAGGTTCAAGTTTTTAATGTGGAGATTCGAGTGTGAAAGCAAAAAGACTCTATGAGCAAAATCATAACTGCTTTCTGTTGATTCATTGGGTGATCAGAGAAATAATTGAGGTATCGTCCAAAGCAAGTTCGTATGTAGTACCAGTCAAAAATTAGTTTATCATTCTCTAAAATCATCGTAACATCCAAAAAATTGCATCTATTACTATCCTCTACTTCCATTGTAAATTAGAGTCTATTATGTATTCAAGTAAATGCATCTAAAACGTTATTAAACAATTGCAATGGAGCTTAAGTCTCTTTAGGGCAATACTTTCAAGATCTCGGAGAACAATATCTGAAACAAATGGAGATAAGTGGGAACTTTAAGATGCATTTCACACCTAACATCTTGTGTTGGCCCTTATTGCCTGTTAATTTTGTCTTTTTATCAACTACAATTTTTTAAACTGTTGCCACTTATGGAAATTAATTTTTTAGCAAAACTTCTATTTTTATCCAAGTCTTAAAAACTTTTTATTACACATCTTACATACCACTGCATAAATATCCTTGAGGGCCAATTCCACCGATGATAAGTTGACAATGATTACAGTAAGTTATCGTGAAATATTGATGTGCCACAAAATGGTGTCCCCTAATCGTCATCTTACGCGATTTTCCAATAAGTAGCCGTGCTTTGATGTTGGATTTATCTTTTGCGACAAAGGTAGGCACTCGATCTACCCATACCGGTCGCAACTGGAAAATCTTTATTAATATGGTAGCTAGACCAGCTGCCGTCGTAAAGAGTCGCAAATCCACGTGTTCTTTCTCTATGTCTTCCCTGAAAAATTTCCCCAGATTTCTCGACATTAAAATTGTTTTCAAATTACAATTAAATTACATTGTAATTGTTACAATTGAACATAGCACTGTGTGTCTTTTTATATTAGTCATTGTCAATAACATTCTTTTTCATTATTAATTATAGTCATCTCCAATGCCAAGAAATCACAAGATACAATTATATGAATTGTAACAAGCTAGTTTTTCAAAATGCAACAAAAATAATAATAACAATGTGCATGATATAATGATTCTTTTCTCTGTATCTAAAATTGAACCATAAGTAAAAACTATTAAATAACACATAAAAGTATATTATACCATTTCATCTATGGTTAACCAAAGTCTATACGAAAATTAATTTAAATACTTGAACTACAATTATTTTGTTCTTATTTCATAAATTTTAAAACACACGCTGTTTCTGTTATAATGAAAAATTATAGCACCAAAAATACAACAAAAATATAGTATTAAGTATAATTATAATTCTTAATTATCTATAAAATTTGTGTTAATTTAGTTTAGTATTAATTATACTTGTCAAATTTATCATACGTTAATTCTTACTATCTTGTAAAGATAATTATTAAACGTTTATATAAATAAAATCTTACAGATAAGGTTCCATTTTTGGCAGAAGATATGTTTCAATAATTTTTGTTTCGCGTGCTTTATCAGATATACTTTCATCAAGCGAAATATCGGTTGGACCAAAGATCGTTGCCAGTCCTGCGGTTCTCTTCTGTTGGAAATGCGTCAGTTGTTCGTTCAAATCCTCCTTTGCTCTAGTACGTGCCTTCCAAAATATCTGTATAGAGAAACGATAAATGTTATAATGTCCGTTGTATTATTCAATATCGGAAAAAATATTATTAACATTTATAGCTTAAAGATTGCTGTTTGACATAAAAATATCATATAAATGTTTATTACTCGATATTCTATGAATTTCTTCACGATAGTGTTTTAAAATAAAAATTTTTTAGATAATCTGTACATTGACTTCTATCAATAATTTATTTTATTTAAAGTTTAAATGTACCTTTCTGAGAATTTCTTCTTTATCAGATTCTTTCAAGAGAACATCATCAATCTCGTTTGCAACATTCTCATCCACATTATGTAGACGTAACGGCTAAATAAAACAAAGTGCATTAGTTATTTCAATTAATAATTGCATTAAAAAAATGTTTAAGTATTAAAATTTAAAAAAAAAATGTAAAGTATATTGAAATTTTTTAATATTACAATTAAATATTAAATAAATGCAAGTATAAAATATGATTAGACATTGTAAAAAGAATGATAGATATAATTATCATGCAAATACAAGAAATTATAAATAATTTCAGAGAAATATTTTACATTATTTATTGAATTACTTACTGCACCAGGTACTAGAAAACTAGAGTGAATTTCGTATGCCCATTTCTTCATCTCTTTGGCATTTCCCTCCTTGTATAAATCAGTTACTAAATAAAATAACTATAAAAAAATATATATCACATTAATATAAATATACATTTTATCACTCAGTTTTGTATAATTTTTTAAATAGAAAACAGGCGTATTTTTTAACAAGCCAATTTATTCCTAGAACACGCAAATAAATCTGACAGACTTCCTCCATTCGCTTCAATTGTTCCATTTTATATTTATAATAATTTTCAAACCTAAAACATTTTTCCACATAGATATTTGTAAACTAAAAACTCTAACAAAACCAACTGGCTTATTAAGTTGAAATCCGTTCAAGTTTGAAAAAGTTCCAAGTATTTGAAATTGTGAGAGGTCTGTGAAACCCATGTATGTGTCAGCAGAAGTTTCTTTACATGTGTGTTCTAGGATTAAATAGGTATAATTAATAATTAGAGATAATTCTACATACCAAACTAGAAGGATCACTATTAGATAAAATGTAATTAACAAATACAGCAAGGTGTGCATGATGTCCCCACAGCCTGGATAAAGATTGAAACGGTCCATGGTCTTCCAATTGACCCTGAGGCGTTAATGAAATTAATCAATATTTAAAGATCTTTTAAAGCATCTTGTATGTAAATTCATGGATAACTCACAATTTCTTGATCACTAACGTCATCTTCTTCCATTGACATAATTGGCTGTTGGAACGCTGGCAGTCCAGGAATGATATCAGTAGCAAGTGCCTGTTATTTACAAAGAACTGTTATTATGAAATAGAAATAGACAGGTAATACATAAAATTGGTGGCGTTAAATTTATCATAATATTCATGATAAAACTGGAAATGAAATAGAACGTTTGTTATGTGTGTAAGTATAATAATTAAACTTATTAATGTCATATTTCTAACAAGAAAAGGGTCAGACGTTCCCCTCCCCGATTTGGCTAAAATTGTACATAAGTGTATTACTTAAAAGGAAACTTTTATGGACCAAGCTACTCGATGCACTTTTCCAGCATTTTCGAGAAAAAGCGATTTGAAATTTGCATGTATGTTCTAGTAGCTGTGCAGCGCATCAATTTTTCAGCCGAATGCATGGCGTACCGAGCAGCACGCTAGCTTTGTAAGTGTAAGATCGCTAGTTCGAGTCTCTCTGCTGACTCTTTTTTCTATTATTTTTTTCTGTTATTGTACAAATGTTTAGTTATACAATATTTATGCTGAAAGGCTAATATTTATGAAGTTTTGACATATGTACAATATGATATTCCGCTGTTTGAGAGTACGCTTTCTTTTTCTTTTCTTCTTTCGTAGAAAATGAGAAAGAGATTTTTATATTTTATAGAGTAACCGGTAGAAAATACTGATTGGAAAAAACATAATAGAAATGATGAGTACATTAAATACGTTGAAAAACTCTTTCTTGATTTAATGAAAACTCTTAAGAGGTACATCGAGTGGATTGATCCATAAAAGTTTCTTTTTAAGTAATACACTTATGTACAATTTCAGCCAAAACGGGGAAGGGAACGTCTGACCCTCTTCATGTAAGATTTTTAATCTCTTATTGCTAAAGTTCATTTATTTTGTCATAGAGCACAAGAAAAAATTTATACAACTTCTTATATTTAGACTATACAGGGTGGCTCGTTTTAATCAATCCACTCAAATATCTCAAAACGTATAAGTTCCAGAAGAAAATTTTTCAGACAAAAGTTGTAGGGTTTTAAGTAACGCATTACTTCAGTACGACCTTGAATAGCGTTGTCAAGGTCACATAGAGGTCATCTTAAATTTCTTAAGTGGCACCCCCTATTGTTTATTATACTATTTTATTCTACTAATATGAACAACTTTTGTCCGAAACATTTTTTAATTTGTCTAATACTTTTTGAGATATTCAAGAAAAAATTGTTCATATTAATTAGTAGAATGAGGTATCATAAGCTGCTAAATTACAGATTCAAGACAAATAAGATATTTACGTCATTTAATGTGGATGAAAAAATGTCTTGTCCCAAAATGGGGGCGGGATACGGTGGCGGTGGTGTTCCAGGTGGTGTGACACGAGGTAATTCATTAGCGTCAATATCGTCATGCCTGACATGTCTCGGAGGTAATAAATCATTCATTGATTCAGAGGCGATTAAACGTCTACTGGCTTCTGAAGGAGATATTGCCGTTGTTCCCAATTGTTCCGGGCTGGACTTTGTTCGCTGATGTTTACTGAGCGAGCTCGAAACGCTCAAATTAGCATCTTGGGAAAACTGAAATGTAATTCATTACAGATAATTATAAATACAGGATGTTAAATTTCAAACGTAACAGGTGGAGTATTTCGTAAACAATGCATTTTAGAAAGAAATGTTTCCTACAAAAGTTGTAGGGTTTCAGAGGGAAAATAATATACTAATATTCGTATAACCTTGGGTGGCGTCTCCAAAGTCAAGTGGAGGTGAGAACAAATTTTTTAAGTGGAAACCTATTTTTTATTATAACATCTTTTTTTACTAAGTAATTTGAACAACTTTTATCTGAAGCATTTTTTCATTTACTTAATATTTTTTAAGATATTCAATAAATACTCGGTAACTCTTTCAACATTCAGTTTACGATATTGAAAATTAAATGACGGAATGAAAGGACTCAGAAAACAAAAAATAAAATAATGAAGTAAATAAGAAATACTAAATTAATAAATTAATAAATCTTCATATTTTATTTTATTTTCTCTTTTCCGAGTCCTTTCAGTCCGTCATTTAATCTTCAATATCGTAAACTAAATGCTGAAAGAGTTACCAAGTATTTATTGAATATCTTAAAAAATATTAAGTAAATAAAAAAATGCTTCAGATAAAAGTTGTTCAAATTACTTAGTAAAAAAAAGATGTTACAATAAAAAATAGGTTTCCATTTAAAAAATTAGTTCTCACCTCCACTTGACTTTGAAGACGCCACCCAAGGTTATACAAATATTACTATGTTATGTTCCCTCTGAAACCCTACAACTTTTCTAGGAAACATTTCTTTCTAAAATGCATTGTTTACGAAATATTCTACCTGTTACGTTTGAAATTTAACAACCTGTATATGTAAGTTGTACGTTTATACTATAAAAAAACGCCTATTCATATAAAAAAAATATATAGAGGATGATCACATTAAAAAAACAATTTTAAATAATTTAAAAACGATGTGTTTGTAATATAGAAAAGAATTTTAAAGAAACGTGATTGGTTCAGTATATAAATATTATATGAGAAAGTTAAATCTAAAATAAGTCAACTTAAAAATAATATTTTCTTTGCAGTAAACTATACTTTACAAAATAATTTGTTATATGTACAAAAATCGTATAAAAAATTATTTTCTCAATGAAAGTAATAAGAACAGTAATATAAAGTTTACTGTATTATATATATATATAATTTATATATTATTATTTATATTTATATATAAATAATTTTTATTTAAGCAGATATAAATAATGTAAAAAATAATCTTATAGATATTATGAACACAAGGACGTGGATACATACACACATTATAATAAATCAATATTTTTTTCTGTAAAATATTAACTAATTTAAATATAATGTTTATGGCTTTTTCGTATAAGATTTAAATACTATTTGTATATAGTGTAGTCACACATACAATATATTATTTAAATATCGTTAATATTGGTATATTAAATAATCCTAAATAAACCACAATGTAGAGCTAACAATTATTTTTTTAATTGTAAAATACATAAAATTCTCTGATTTATTTATAACTTGACAAATATGTATTGTACATTTATCGGCAAGCATAATATAGGTGTAAAGGATATCTATGTAACATTGTTGGACAATTAGGCTACTTACAGAGTTAGAAATACCCTGATTGGCAGTTGAAGGCGTTAAGTGAATCAGCAGATGTCGGTCCAGCTCCGGTTGGACTGTGTTTTGCATGGCAGGTGGAGGTCGAGGAGGCAAAGGCGGTGGAGAGAGACTTTGCATGGATAGGGATTTACGCGATGGCAGTGGGGGCGGCACGTCTGCGCCACTGCCATTGTTTGAGGGTGGACAATAACCCGAGGAACATGAGGTGTTTGTTACCAATGAGCAAAGCTGTAAGATACAACAAAGAGTTGCTGTTACCAAAAAAGGCAAAGCTGTAAAATACAACGATGTGTTAGCAAAAGTAAAAGGCGAACAGTGAAAGCTTTGGTGCACTCTTGAGGTAGACCAATTGATATACAGGATGATATACAGGATTGATACAGTTGTTATATTTCCAACACAGAAGGAAAAGGGAAAGAATTCTATATGCAAAACTAAGTTTCTCAAATATAGAATGAAGTTTTTCCCTTTCCACAAAAAAATAATCTTAAGGGGATACTGGAGTGATTTTGCACCTTTTGCATCTAGAACTGGTCAATTCGTGAAAACATTTGCGTAATAAATAAAGTATGTAGCTTTCGTGCACAGACCGAGTAGTTTTTACGCTAATCGGATTAAATCAGAGAAAGGCATGGTTTCTTTATTGAATCATTATGTACTTAATTTCAATGATACCATGCTGTACTCTGATTTAATCCAATTAACCACATTATTGTATATTACACAAATGTTTTCACGAATTGAGAGTTCCAGAAGCAAAGGATGCAAAAAGTACAGAATTACTCCAGCATTCCCTTAAACATCGGGAAATTAATAACTGTTATTTCTAAATTTGATTGAATCATTTTTAGCTATTTTCACGATATATATTATTCGAAATATTTTACCAGCATCTATCAAACCAAAAACAAGATCCTGTTTCACAAAATAATACAAAGTAAGCAAAGAAATAAATTAAAATATTAAAATTATCTTTACTTCTTAAAGTGACGTTTTGAACCAAATTTTACAAAACAGTTGTCTCTAATTGTAAAAAAACATTTATCAATTTGTTCGATAATATTAGTGATAAAGTCTCATAAAAGAAAAATCTAATTCTTTAGCCGTCAGATTTTCTCAAAAATAAAATGTTATATACAAAAGAAATTAATTTACATTACTGACGTTTCTTTTTACACAAAATTATTAATTTTCCAAGTGTATTGTAAATAACAAATTTCATCTTTATGTTAATCCATCTGCCACTTTCTAGAGTTTTGCAGAACGAGTAATATTATTCGCCCATAACTGACGGAAAGTTTGTTATAAAAAATATTACCACATGTCTCAGTGATCGAATTCGTAAGATGTCTACTTTGAGTATCAGGAGGTCCCGGTTCAAACCCTGGCTGAGGTAATATGTTTCGCCATAAAAATTTCCGCCAGTTATGGCCGAATATTACTTGTTTTGTACATGAAACATTCACTTTTTGATGCTTTTATCTTAATATCTTTATTAATTATAAAAATCAATTTAAAGAAAAAAATTATATAAAGCTATGCACAAAAAATAACCATGTTAAAAAAATACTTGCTAAAAGAGAAAAACATTTCTCTATCTTGGACAAGTTCTCAATTTCTTCATTTATATTAATTATAATGATTTTAATCAAACTGATTAACTTAATTGACGATTAATTTGTCAAGATACATAAAGTGGGTATGTACTTTCAGCAGTCCCTCACTTTAAGATTATCTATATGTAAGTATATGTATGATTCACTGTGATAATAAAAAATATCACCACGAAAGTATTTATAAAAAAAACTATATCTCAATTGTTTCAATACTTTTCTAAAAACAATCTTGAAAGATATTCAATTCAACAAAGTAAAATACTTTCTTAACAATGTGAATAGAAGTATTAATTTTTTAATACGTAGAAAAAAAGATCAAATTAGGAAAGACAAATCAAATAATTGGAAATTTTGCTAGGGGTTTCCTTGTCACCGATTCTGGCTAACATGGTCATGGATGACTTGGAGACAAACTGTATACAGTAACAGACTTTGACGTCCCTATTTTTTACAGATATGTAGATGACATATTCACTGATTTACCAAGGACTAAAATTAGCTTCGTTCTCTTTATTTTTAACAACCACCATCCACGGTTAAAATTTACTCACGAAATTGAATCACACAACTCCATTCCTTTCCTTGACATAATATTTATTAAAGACAACAATTAAAAAGTATTGAAAAATTGGCACCAAAAACTAACCTTTTCTGGATGGTACTTGAACTATTTTTCCAACCATCCTTTTAAATCTAAAATTAATCCTATATCATTAGTCTCATGGACCACGCCATCTGCTTTCTGACCAAAAATTTTATAAACAAAACATTGAATTAATTAAAAAAATTTTAATTAATAAAACTCCTTTCCTGACAAAATCATTAATAAACATGTTAACATTAAAGTCAACGAATTAAAAAGACGAAATACGGTTTTGAGAGATTGTGTGACTCATAACAAAAGTTTCGATCCTAAAACGTGTATTACTCTCCTTTATATTAAAGGTTTGAGCGAAAAAATTATCACTAATTTCAAAAGGTAGGTTTAGACCCTATTTTTACCGTCCCAAAAAGACTCGACAGAGTGATCAAAAGAGATAAAGACCAACTGAATTCGGACCAAAAAAAAACAGAAGTGATCTCCTATATCAAACGTAATGATTGTGAAGCCTCGTGTATTCGGCAAACTAAACGACACCTACAGACCTGCGTTAACGAACATAGAAATGATATTAAGAAACACGAAAGCTGTCACTCAATCGTTAGCAGACATCGCATATTACATGACCATGAGTTCAATTGGTCGAAAACAAAATTAGTACATTGAGCGTCTAACGAGGAAACGAGAAATTGCCAAAATATTTTTATAAAAACTAACAACACTATTAATCTACCACCCGACACCAAAAATGGTAAAACTGCAGAATAGGGGACCCAGCTCCTACGACCTTGACCTTCAAGGTCAAGGTCAAGGTCATCCTCCTGAGTGACCCTCAGAAGGTTTTAGCCGTCGCTCGTTGTTCGTTAAAAAGTTATTAACAAAAAAAGTTTGGTTCATGTGTAAGTTGCAAATACGTTTATAACATGAAATTTAAGGCAAACTGTGACTCTAGATGGGTCGGCATATTTATATATATTTAACCTGGGTTAACTGTTCTGTAAAGCAGATAATTTTCCATCATTTGTAAGTCCATACGCACACAAGAATATTGTGCTTTACAGAAATACGCAAACCCGTCATCGTTTTCCTATTTATCGTTCTATGTAGTAGTAGTAATAGGATCTCTCACTGTTTGTGCAGCCAACGGATTCGTGAACATTTGTTTTGATACTTGTCGCTGTTGTTCTTAGCGTTTGGGTAGCTCGTTCAGTATAGCTCGTTCAATCATTAGAATATCTTCATATACAGTAAGT